AACTAAAAAACACTCTTTTACAGTGAAACGAACTAAAAAGTAAAAAAATAATTCATATTATAAGAATAAAATGATTAACGAAAAAATTAATGTCATTGGGAGAAAAACGTGGGGTGCTCTATATTAACTGTTATAATTTCTTACTAGTTCTATTCCGAAATGCTGAGTTAGTGTAAAAATGTAGTACAAAGCCCCCCACGCTTTTACCATAATGACATTAATTTTCTCTTCAATCAATTTATTCTTATATTAAAAATTATTATTTTACTTTTTAGTTCGATTCACTATAAAAGTGTGTTTTTTAGTTGTTTTTTTTTAAACTTTCATTTATTTTTCATTTTTTAGTTCTATCTACAATAAAAGCCTGTTTTTTTTAGTTTTTAAAACTATGATTTATTCTTTGTTGAATTTATCGTTGAATTTGATATTTGGAGCCGGAATTACGTGGCTGCTGGAATTAGTCTTGCTCTTCAATGCATATTAATTAATGGGTCCGAAGGGTATTTATTCTCTCCATTTACGGGACCTCGGATGAGTCCCATATCGTTGTATTTTAAAGATTCCGTCTCTATAGATACAGGTCTAACCAGTAAAAGTGAGTAAGAAGAAATATTAAATGTCAATCGTATTATCATCTTTTAAACGTATTGCTATAATGTTAGTTCGAAACATCATTTCTAAACATATTGCTTTTAAAAATAAAAAAAAATATTTAGCAGTTAGAACATAAACTATTTTTATTCGCATGTACGAATCATTTTTTTTATTTCCATTTTCAGAAAAAACTAGATTTTTATTATGGTAAGAAAGAACATAAAGAACACTTTTATTGTTTTATTTGTATTAGTCACAAGCCTATTTGCGGTTTTAGCGTTGCACCTTAATCTTTTAGTCGCTAAATCTAGAATAAGTCGCCTAATCTGGAAATAGCATATGGCATTAGTCGCCAAATCTGAAAATGGTTTATGCAATTAGTCGCCAAATCTGGAAACGATATAATGAAGTAGTCGCCAAATCTCGAAATCCTTAAATTCCTTATTTCTGCAGATCCTGATCAGGACAATGAAACAAAATTATGAAATTATTGTATTGTCATCGATTCTTGACAAGTGTGCAAAGTTTCGAGAATTCATCTGACCTTTTAAAGTGGATAAAAATCGAGTTAAGAGATGCCATTGCTACAAATGAAACTTATAAAAGAGTGTTCAAAATGCAAATTTTAAGTATAGGAAATGTAAAGATGCACTTGCAAGCGGGCTGTGCATCTCGACGAAACTCCCTTGTAACAGCACATTTTAATTCTCACTCACTTCGACGTTTTTTGGTTTGTTTATTTTTACCACATTCAATGAAATTCAAAAGCAAATAGTTAAAATGAGTAACCATCAACGTATGGAATAAGTGAAACAGCTTGACGTTTGAAAATCGTCAAGAAATTTGAGATAGAATAATTTCCAGTGCAAATTACTACAGACATTAACGTAACACTTTGCATTATGTGCAACTAACGAATACGATTTGATGAATCCGTGAGAAGAAGACTTCGAAAAGATCGCCCAAGAACCATAAAGACCAATAGCATCTATATTTTCCCGTTACATCGAAAGGTAACAGAAATGCAACAGCTTTTCAGCCGTCTCTGAGCTTCATGCGGTTACACAAAGCCAAGTTTCAATGGTTACTTTTTCTAGAAGGCTACATGAAAGAAATCTATTGGCAAGAAAACCTGCTGCTCTTCGCGTTTCTTTGACTTTTGTGTGCAGAAGAGCCCATTTATTATAAGGGTATTGACATTGGAGCAGGAATTAGAGGAGGAACATTTTGTGCAGTGGAGGATAAAACAGATTCATCCTATCCATTGATTCTCGTTTAATGTCCTTTAAGGCGAAACAGTACCCGTTACATGTCCTTCAACATCGAAGTAAAAGACAGAGATAAGAGCGAAGATTTTATATACTCAGCAAACATCATTCTGAACGAGCATAAACCTCTGCGTCTTTGATAGAAATTAAGAAACAATAATGACGTGTAGGCAACTGGCCCTGATTTCATTTTCTTGAATAATAATGCTTGTCCAGTTGGGTACACATCTGGCCGAGGAATTTTTGGAAGGTGAGGATATCCGTCGAATGTAAAGGTGAACCAGATCTTTAATTCCCATAGAACATACTTGAAATGTTCTTGGGAAGTCAATTCCAGCTTCTCTTCCTTCCCCCAGAACCAACCCGGACTTGAAAACAGTATGTGTTACTATAGGAGGGAAACCCATCTGAATCAGAAAATGATTCATTTCTAACATGAATTCAAGTTGGGAAAGCCGTTTTACTGGAAGAGGGAACCATACTTCATATTGCCTCTTTTATTTTTTTGTTTCATCTTGGTACCTCTCTTTTATAATTGCCTGCATGGATGAGTCATATGCGTAAGGTGCACATATTATGTCAAACAATATTCATATTTAGTTTTTAAAAAACAGTTCGATTCTTTTGGAGATGATCCACCAAAAGAAAAAAAATCTCATAATTTTGAATATTGGTTTAATAAATGCTTCAAACTTTACTATTTCCTTATAAGGCATTAGTTAGTTATCCTGTCATTGATCACTATTAACCCCATAACTGGTTTGCCCGTACATCGTAAAGGCTATCGAAAGCTAGCCACAATCGGTTTGCCCGTACAGCGTACGGGCACTGCTATTTTCTTCTTTCTATTTTTTATTTGCACATATTTTTCATACTTATAGTGAAATTACTAGTGCTGGTGTTTTTAAGAGATGCGGTTTGTCCATAAACGTGACATGACGGGAATTTTTTATTGAAGGCAGAAATTTAGATTCTTAAAAATTTTCGATAAGGAACAGGGATTGGCAAGGCAATGTTCAATTTGTTTCTTGAGAAGAATTGAAAATGGAAAGATAATCCAAAAAAAGCCGATATTATCTCTGACCCCATTGCAATATAAGACTTAGTATAACGCCATGCTTCAATTGTGTGTGTAGATATATATGAACACACAAAATCATCAACTCTTTGAAAAAAAAGGTACGAACATGAAGTTTTTCTGGAAGTATGATAGGAATTATTTTAAGCTATATGAAACATTCTTCATAGTATGCCACTTATAAAAAGAAAATTTTTTTTTGGGGGGGGGGTTGTTTTCCGCACTTATAAAATAAAATATGGGGAGAAATTTTAAAATTGAAAATTAAAATAAATCTCCTTCTATTTGCTTATTATTTTAAGTACTATGCTTAGTTATATGCAATAAAAAAATGTGCCTTTTATTTGTAACTTTTTGGACAAAGAAATTGACCGCTTAAGGAGTTAAAGTCACCCTAAGAAAATAATATTCCCCGACGTAAAAATAGATATTATACCATATTGAATCAATTCCAACTATCAAAGGATAGAAGTTTGAAAAAAGATAAGGTATTAAAATCACACCATCCATTAGGTTTTTATACAAGGGGCCTTCATTTGTATGTTAATTCCTAATACTGTATACTGAAGTTCCATCTATCATTTTCATCTGGTTGTATAATGAATTTTGAACCAGTTGCGTTCTACGAAGGAAAAGATTCCGTCTACATGCATTGGATACTATAAGGCAGGTGTGGCCAAGACGTCGACCGCGGTCGACTGGTCTACCGCGAAGACATTTTAGGTAGTCCGCCCGACCATCCCGATAATGACCTCGGATATTAACAATTTAATTTATGACTTATGACACAGAATTAATGAATTATTTAAAATAAAAAATTACTACAGTTTACGCTTTAAAACCTAAAACACACTGTGCAAAGTAATACAATGAATTTTTCGTTTTACAGTGGAGAATTAAATACAAACAACTTGACAAAGTGGGATGCTTAGATTATATTGTAAATATTAATATATTAAGTTTTTTTTAGAAAAATTAGATAATTTACCATTTTTTCTTGTTACCGAAAATAAATATATAAACATGTACGTTACGTTAATTTAGCTCTGCCCCCCATTGGTAGACCACCTTCGATTTTTTAAATGTGGATTAGACCACGGATCCCAAAAGTTTGGCCACCCCTGCTATAAGGCCAAGGTCAAAATCGTGCAATGTAATATATAAATGTTTATCTTGGTTGCAAAAAACGCTATCGAAAATCTTGGCAAGCGCATTGAAATTGATGCACTTATATTACAAGTTATTTTTTTATTATTATCAAATTTTTTTCAATCGAAAGTGACTCACTTAAATATTTTCTTTTGAAAAAGGATAACATTAAAAATGCCTTTTGAGTATTCTTATATATGTTAAATTCATGGCGCATCTTTAAAATAAATGCATTACTGTAAGTCGTAAAAAATACTTTTAAACATACCCTGGCATTTAAAAGGAAATTAAAATAAAAACTGTTACTTAAGTTTTTAAACGAAATATATCCGAACAGGAGAACGTAAGTAATTCCGTATTTTGGAAAAATTTTATATTTTCCGCACGTAGTTAGAAAATATAAAATGGAAGAAATTGCTTTAGAAAAGAAAAAAGAGATGAGATCAAATAAAGATTTAAAGGAAGAATTTGATTAAGAAAGAAATAATAAATTAAAACAGCAGTTTTTGTAAAAAACTCTGTGTTATTTGTTGTAAAGAAAAATATTTGAAGGGGGAAAAACTTTCATTTGGGCATTTAAACCAAGAAACTTCCTTTTTTTTCCCCTTCCTCCTAATCTTTTAAGCTATAATTAAGTAACTATACTTTTTTTTTTTTTTTGAATTACAAGTAATATAAAAAAAATGTTTTTTAAGTCAATTCCTACTTAGGTCGACAAACAAAAATTTTATTTTAGCTACTTTTTATTAAATAGTTACAATTAATATAAATATGTATATACATAGGGCAGAATCACAATAGTAAGTGACAAAATAGAAAGCGATTTTCCAATTTCTTTCTATATGTGTTGTACTATTATTTTTATTTGTTTCTATTTATTCGCTCATAAATAGCATTTTCAGAAATTAGGTCATCCCAGGGGGGAATCGGACCCCCGACCTTTGGAATAGAAGTCCAACGCGCTATCCATTGCGCTACAGGGACACAACGAACGATTTTCCTTTCTATATATGCTACTGGACTATTATTTTTGTTTGTTACTATTTATTCATTTTTAATTTAATCAAGGAATTAATATTTGAAAAAACCGTAACAACATCAAGTGGCATCCACTACGAGGTTAAAAAAATGTATTTGAGCTTGAGTGGATAAATAAAATGTATTTTATTAACGATTGAAAATTTGAACAAGATATATATAAATAAATATATATAGGGAGAGTGTGAACTAATAGTAAGAATTGAAAAATATATTGCCACTATTTGATTGAAATTATTCTATTATGAGAAAACTTTCGAGATGATAAAAGCATTTTGCGCGTGCTTACACCACAACTGTTATTAAAACATTGCTACGGAACGTTGAAATTTTTTGATTGATTTTGATTTGCATCGCACTCTGAAGATGTACGACTTTACTTTAAACATTTTTCAAATGACGTGGATGACTCCTGAGTTCCCCCCTCCCCGTGCTCTCCAAATTTCCTCAACAACTAACTTGAGGACTTTGAGTCCCGGCAGATTTAGTATGCATCCATCCCTCTGCATGAAGGGTTTTCAGTGGCAACGGTACTCAAAACCATGGGAAGGTTGAACAGACAAATATTTTGATGAAAATACATATTTCTTTTTTCCGTTAGATGCTTATTAGAGTAAGTAAGAAATAAATACATAAATTTATGTTTGAGATTTATGAATAACGCTAAAAAAAAAAACAATTTATACATAAAAATTCTCAAAACTTGTCAAATAATGGCTAGTTCCTACAATTTTAGAAACGAAACAAAATTATAATCAACCAGTTTTTCCAAGTTAACTATGTTCGAGTCGAGAACAATAAATGTAAATCAATACTTACATTAATTTTGCGATTAATTTTTAATTACCGTAAAATCCGGAGTATAACGTGCACCTATACTTTCAAGCCGCATTTATTTTTTATTTTTTTTATTTTTATGTATATACATCACATAATGCGCATACCCCTTTTTTGCGAAGAAATATGAAATGCATGTGTGCAATATTCTGGTGTTTTGAAGTCCTTTATTGGCGGTATTAACCCAGGTTTTTGAAAAAATAATATATTTCTAGAAATACAACTCTTTTTTTTTTTTGTTCATAAAGTATGCCATTTTTTAAAAAATAAACAGTGTTTCGATCTATGTAGAAGTCTAATTTTTTTTAATACTTATCTCTTTTTTTTATATTTAAGGTATCCGACTACGTTCGGAACCATGATTTTGCAAAAGCGTACAAAAGAATATTTTTTTTTTATATTTAATGTAACTTAGATTAGAATACACTTATAAAATTGTTTTAAGAATATTATTACAATAAAATAATTATTTAAATGCAATATTTTGACAAAAAATGTTTTTAGGACTATCTTTTTTCAAAACATTCTCTTTTTATAAAAAAAGGCTTCTATAATAATAATAATATTTTGCTTATATATAGCTAAGACTTCTCCCGAGGGCCAGAACTACGACTTTTGAAAAATTCACATTATTTTCAATTGAAATAATTATCAGCTTTTTATTGTTTAAATTTCTCCACTCTGTTGTATTAAAATATGGATAAATCTACTTCTAAATTATGTATTTCAAAAATCCTAGTTCAGGCTCTGTACAGAGGTCTGAGTTATATATAGGCAAAGTATTATTATTGCAAAATCATTTTCCATAAAAGAAGAATATTTGAAAAATAGATAATTCTATAATCACACACATTTTTTGACAAAATCTTGCATTTAAATCATTTTTAATTGTAATAATATTCTGAAAACAATTTCATACGTGTGTTCTATTCTAAGTGACCCTAAATATTAAAAAAATATTCGTTTGTACGTATTTGAAAAATCATGATTCCGAATGTAGTCGGAAATCTTAAAGGTATCATTTTTATACCTCTATGCATATATATAGAGCACCTGTACTTTCAAGCTGCGCTTTTTATATATAATTTTTAGGTATATTCACCGTATAACGCTTATCTCCTTTTTTACGAAGAAACCTGAAATGTACATATGCAATGCTCTTATGTTTTGAAGTTATTTTTTCGAGATATTATCCCAGGCTTTTGAAAAAATGGTACACTTCTTGAACTACATCCTGTTGTTGTTACTAATGCCACCTGATCGGCAGAGGCCCATGAAATTCATCATGGTAAAGGGCTAAGTGACGCCTGTCGTTAGGCGTAGCTTTGAGCACCATACAGGTGACAGTACAATATGGCCCGATTCCACTCCAATTTAGAGGGTGAACACTCTGGGGGTGGTCAAAGGCCTTCCCGAAGGAACGATAGATGGCGACACCACCAATCTCCACCTCCACAATTTAGGTATGAAACTGAATTGGAGGTAAACTTTCTCCAGTTTCCTGCACTCGTGAATCAGCCCACAAGGCTTTCGGACCCACTGATTTAACGAGCACGTGCTCCCCGTGTACTCGGAGGGTATTTCGCAGTACGGGCATCGTACCCATGCCTTCCGGTCCGAAGTCCGATGCTCTAACCACTAGGCTACCCTCGGCCTCGAACTACAACCTTTTAAGTTCATTTATTTCTTTTGAATAAACAGTAATTCGAAATATGTAGAAGTCTAATTTTTTTTATGTATCTCTTTGTTTTTATTTTTAAAGATATCATTTTTTTAAAGCCGGTGTGTAATGCACACCCGTAAATTTTGATCTTATTTTTTTGTGTTAAAAGAGTGCGCGTTATACGCCGGATGTTACGGTATAGTACTTTCCTTTTCTTCAAATTTCGCTTTATAAGAAAATTTGATATAAAAGTTTCTCTGGGTTTACTGTATATAGATATAAGTAATAATTTATGATTAAATCTTCGCGAAATGTAGGACTCGAAATAAATAAGAAAAAACTAAATGTATAAAATAAATATTAAACATATCACACACGAATATAACTTATAATCGACAGATCCTAAGTAAATAAATAAAATAGTTACAAAAAATTGTGAAAATTTGAAATAATTAAATAAATAAACGTTTTTATGTTTCCGTTGTTTATTTATCACGCTGTTTTTTATCATGTATAATAAATTATGCGAACTAAATTAAAAGTAATTTGAAATTTTTTTTTTTTTTCGAATTAGTTTGAATGGCAAAAAATTATTCCAATATATCCTTTTATTTCAAAATCCCTTCAAAAACATCGATATCATTTCTGCATACATCTCCCCAGCATTTTCTAATATGCTTCAGTTTTGCAGTTTAATTTATACTTTTTATTGTATGCATAATTTAAACCTTTAATATACTGAATTCTATATTTTCAAGGAGCACTTTGTTTTTTTAGATATAATTTTATTACGAGCATATATAAGATTTTTAAATTATTCATACAGTTTATCTAAAACTAGATATTTCAACATGCATTTCGTTTTGATTAATATCTTAATGCGTTTTATAGATTTAATAACATTTATTTATTTTTCCCAGTTTCATTTGCCTTATAGGGATTGGACATAAAAAAATATAATTTCAGACTACTTTATAAATAATTTATTTTATATTATGTACTCAAACATTTTTGTTTGTAAAGCGCTTAATTGAATGTGTTCTTGCCACAAAAAAAAACACATAAAATATTTATATTATGATATTTTAATACACTTCGCTTGTCGTAACAAGAAGTAATAGACATAATAAATAATTTTAAAAGACATAAATTCAAAATAAATAAATTATTTATCAACATCTTATCAAAAATTTAAAAGCTAATACTATTACTCATATTGTACTTACTCTAGACTTTGGAATTATTATAGAGAGGAAAAAAATCCCCAAAAGTTAATTAAACCATATAATATATTTACTGTACAATATATTTGAAAGAAGTGAATGTATAGAATGTATAGTTTCTCATTGGTTCAGTGACTTAAATCTAGTTCATGAAATAATTGCGCAGCTAATGTCATTGTAATGTAGATTCATATTTCGCTACACAAAAAAAATGAATGAAAAAGAAAGAATGTCTCAAGAAAAAAACATTAAAAATAAAAGCATTTGAGTTTAGAGTAAACAAAAAAGATGTTCATAATGAAAAATGCTCCTATTAGATTATATCGGGCTATAAGTTTACTTTTCTTGTTTAAAGAGTAGGCAAAGATATTTGGTAAGAATATAACTGGAGATAAAATATCAAACAATTCTATAATACTTTTTTCCTTTAATAAAGTCAATTAATATATGTAAGGCAAACTTTATATTATACAGGTTTCGGATTCATAAAAAGGAAAACTTTCACTTTCAACTTCCCAATCATCTTAAAACGATATATTTTCGAATATTTTTCTCTTGCAAGATACGAAAGACAGTTAAAAATTAGTTCCACTTATAAAATGGTCGCTACTCCACTGTTGTCTATTATTATTAATCAGAACAAAAAAATTTCAATTCGCATCCATACAACATCGACAGCAAAAATCAAAATTGATATATTTGATTTCTTAACAAAGAATTTCCCACCAAATTTTCATAAATAAATGAATTTTTCAGAACAATGGGCCACGACCGGGCCATTTAAAAAAGGCTCAGTGGGCCGCAGGTTGAGTATTGCTGGTCTGCAGCAATGATACTCAACCGCATGAGGCCCGCCGACCTTTTGTGAGTGGCCCGGTCATGTCCCGCGCGTTGCACTAAGAAGTTCAATTATTTAAGAACAATTTACTAAATATTTAGCAGGCAATTCTATCAATCAAGCAATCAAATCTATAAATTTGCTATTTTTGATAGTAGAATGTAAACAAGAGGCTTGATGATGGTTGAAAGAAAATCGAAACTACCCCATAATTCGGCGAAAATGTAAAAAAGTAAA